TCCTGTTTATGATCATATATTTCTATCTTGGAAACTATATATGATTAAAAATATATAATAGCTATAGTAGTCTTTTTAATTCCTGCCGTGCCAGTCTTTTGTTTTCTCCAATTCCCTTAAACATCAAATACATTGGTATGAGGTGTATATGACAAACATGTGGTATTAGTTTGCTAGGGCTGCCATAACAAAATACCACAAACTGAGTGGCTTAAACAACAGAAATTTGTTTTCTCACAATTCTGGAAGCCAGAAGTCCAAGATCCAAGGTGTCAACAGAGTGGATTTCATTCTGAGACCTCTTTCTGTGTCTTGTAGATGGCCATCTTCTCCCTCTGTCCTCACGTGGTTGTCCCTCCATCTGTGTTGTTTGTGTCCTAATCTCTTTTTATAAGGACACCAGTCATATCGGATTAGAGCCTACCTATATGACCTCACATTACCTTAATTAACTCTTTAAGGGCCCTAAATCCAAATACATACATTCTGAGATACTGGGGGGTTAGCACTTCAACATATGAATTTTGGGGGGACACAATTCAGCCCATAACGCATATATGAAATTATTTAGCTTGTATAAACATTTCATATATATATACATACACTTGCATATACATGTACAATATGGCATGTTTATAACATAATAGTTATGCACATATATATGTATATTCAAAAGAAAGATAACTGTATTCATTTCATTAGTATAGATTTATGAATTTAGGAAATTAAGAAAGAAAAGATTCTAATATATGCATTTTTTAAAATGTCTTGGGATAGTCCAGATTTTAACTAGTGAGCTTTAAATGTTCATGTAATATTCAATTTGTTATTGATAATTAGATGCTAGTAATTCAAAAGTGCCCAGAACACTTAGGAAGGTGTTTGCTGTTGATCCAAATTTATGAGTAAGTCTCTGTCCCTAGGTTAAAGAGTGGGTCATCTGTAAGACCTCCTACTACTTAACCTCTTTAATCAAGCTTGTTAAAACTTCATTTCATATCCACTGCCTTTTGTACTCAGATAAGTACTTAATTAGAAAAGACAGGCATATAGTAAACGGAAACTAAGTTTTATTTTGCTTTGTTGTTTTTATCTCCTACAGCACCAGGCAGAGTTCTGGACACATGGTGGATAAGTGATTATTAATTGGTTAATTTTGAATGGGGAAAGTAAATTATATAAAATGAATTATCACTATGAAGAGCACCACAGCCTCTATACTTTTGCTGTAGTTAATTTTAATATTACCTTCATTAAATGAGGAATATAAATGAATTACGGTTTTAAGTATTTTAAATTGTCAATTCTAATAATCATACTATAATATTTGGTGTTTTAGGTAGTTTGCATAAATACAAATCCAGCTTTTAAACATCTAAAATTCCCTTTACTTTATAAAATCGGCTACAGCATTTTCTAGATTAAATATTACAAATACCAAGTGGTAAGTAAAGCCTTATCAGTTATTGTCAATTGTCCCCTCTCTTGTATGATCAGTTTTTTCCCTATTTACTGGATCTTTCTCATTAGCATACAAGCATGCTATAATTTTTATAAGTATATACCTTTTTAATAAAGTTTCTTGGTCACATATCCTCCACTAGCTACTACAAAATACCTCACTGAAATTGGCTGTTCCAGCACTTCTCAAATGCATACTCATCATTGGGAATCTTGTCAAAATTTAAATTCTAATTTAGAAGGTATATGCTTTCTGCTTTAACAAATTATCCAAAGCTTAGTGGCTTAAAATAACAAAGATTTCTTTGGACATAGCCATGCTAGGTACCTCGGGCTCATAATCTTTCACTTGCTGCAATCAAGGTGTTGACCTGGACTGTAGTCATCTCTAGGCTTGCCTTGGGGAGGAATTCGCTTCCAAGCTCCCTCCTTTGGCTGTTGGCAGGCCTCATGTCTGCTTGCTGTTGGCCTGAAGACATCAGTCCTTTGCCATGTGATCCTCTCCATAGGGCTGCTCACAACATAGCTGCTTGCTCCAAGAGAGGCAGAGAGGGTGGGGGTGGGAGAGGGCAAGCAAGACAGAGCCAGAGTCTTTTTGTAACCTAATCTCACAAGTAACATCTCATCGCTTTTGCCTTATTTGTTCATTAGAAAGCAGTTACTAGGTTCAGCCCATACTCAAGGGGAGGGAATTGCACAAGGACACAAATACCAGGAAGTGGGAGTCATGGGGGGAGTCCATCTTAGGGGCTGCGTGCCACAGTAGATTTGGGGTGGGGCTAAAATCCAACAATTCTGAGAAACTCCTAGGGATGCCAGTGCTGCTCATTGGAAACTTCACTTTGAAAAGCAAGGATCTACACTTACTGCCTCCAATTCCTTTCTTTCAATCATCCTCTCTCGATCACACGCCACTTAGGCTTTCTCACCCACCACTCTGCTAAAATTGCCCTTGTCGAAGTTACCAAGGACTCCTAATCACTAAATCGAGCATTTGAAAAAATTCATCACTCTTGGTGAAAATCTTTTCTTTATTTGGCTTCTGGAACACCAAATTGACATTTCTCCTCACTTTTTCTGCTAGTTACCTATCTCCCTGACTGTAAATGTTAGTGTATCCCACAATCCAATCCTTGGACCTCTTTTTTTTATCTACAGTTAGCTCCTAAATGTGCTCATGAAGGCTTATAGCTTTAAATTTAGATATATGCTGACCACTTTCAAATTTATGTCTCCTATGTGGATTTCTCCTCTAAAATGTTAACATGTTTATCAGTTGCCTCAATGAACACCTCTACTTGGATATCTGATAGTAATTTCAAACTTAAAATGTCCAAAACAGAATTCTTTATTCTTTCCCCCTAATCTCCCGCCCCCACCAAGCCCAACTGGCAATCTTGCTTATCATCCATGTTTGCAAACCCAACAGATAGTTCCACTCTCCAGTCAGCTGTTCAACTGAAAAACCTGGGAGTCATCCTTGAGCCTTCTCTTGCTCTCATACGCAAACGATCATTAAGTTTTGTCAGTTCCACCTCTTAAATATCACTTGACTCTCCCCATCTTTCTCCATCCAAACATCACCACCCTAGTCAAGACCATTATTACATATTATGCCGAGTCTTGCATCTTTTTATTATTAATTACAGCTTCCAGCCTCTAGCCCAAGTGATTTTATTCAGCCCATCTTTTTCCCATGTTCATGGTTTCCTTTATTCTATAGGATAAAGTTTAGATTCTTTAATATTGTTTATAAAACCATACATCTCTCCAACCCCATTTGGATCTGCTTCCCTACCTGCACTCTGTACTTGAGCAATACAGGGACTGGGCTCTGATATAACACTCCCATTTGCCTCTGAGTCTTCATGAAATTGTTTCTTTTCCTTAAACATTCTTCCTTCCCTTCTTTGCCTGGCTAGCTTTCACTTAATTTGAGTTTCATCTTAAATGCGACTTCTTCCTAGAGGCTGTCTTTGACCTTTTAGACTAGGTTTGGGCCACTCACAGTGTAGTCCATAACGTTATATACTTCCCTATCTTAACAGTCATTATATTTTATACTAATCATTGGATTATCTTTTTCTTTTTCTCCCATTAAGCTGTAAGTTCTGGGAAGGCCAGGTTGCAGAGGTAGATTCAGGTATTTTAAAGCCTAAACATGTAATTTGGGGGCCCCCTCTTTAAGAATAATAATGTGAAAATTATATATATATGACTTCCATATTTATACATATTTACATACATATATATACATTTAAGTGCAAAAGAGAATATTCATTTATAAAAAGAAATCACAACAAAGTAAAAAATTAAGGAAGCTGACAAATATAAAAACATATGACCCTGTGAACACACTGCTAGGGGCCCTTCCCAGAACCCCAAAGCTTAAGCTTCATTAGGTCCAGAGTAAATGTGCTTCTGCATATTAGTCTTCTTTAAAGCTCTATTTCTAGTGTCAACAGCAGTGCTTAACACATAGCAGGTACTCTAAATATTTTTGAATGAATATATTAACTGGGTTATATTCAGTTACATTTTCCATATATTTGACATTCAACAAGTTTTTCACAAATTAGATTTCTAAAAAATTGTTTTATATTTTATAAAATTGTTATTATAGTTACTAGTTTCAATTATGTGCTATGATCATATTTCAAATGACTAATGTCCATATCTATTAGCATATCATTGGGCTCTATGTAAAACATCTGTTGCAACTCTATTAAATGGAAAAAATTCTCTATTTGTATCAAAAATATACATTATAGTCTTCTGTATGTGTGTATATGTATATATGTTTGTGTGTATGCCTCTATATCTTTATAGATCATATATATCAGAACTTGAAGATTAATTTTGAATTACTAAAATTTTGTTTTTTTAGTTATTCTTACAAACAGAAATCCTTTGGGGAGAAACCATCTATTTCCTGGGTTTCTTTAATAATATATTTTTATAAACATTTGTCTCTGGAATAATAAGGGTACAAATATATACTTAAAAATTGAATAAAATGTTTTCTTTAGTATGAATTTGTCCACATGACATTATTTAAGTGGTTATTTGAATCAAGACAATAGCATAGCATTCAAAAGATAAGCTACTTGGCTTAAATCCTTAGAGTTTAGTTTGTTAAAATGGAAGTAAGTTTAGTTAAATTCCTTTTATAATAACAGTTAAAATTTGCTGAGGAGTGTGCTCATATCAAGATTATCAGGTGTGTGTGTGTGTAGGTGTGTGTGTGTGTTGTAAAGTGCAGCCCTCTGATCGATCTGCACTTTTTCCTCCTATTTTCCTAAATACATCATGAAAAAAGGATGAGGTTTCCGCCTTAATTGCTTGTGCCTTTTATTCACATTCCTCTCTCAGCCAGAATTGTGAAAAGAGTGTTAGTAAAAGGCTGCACAATAGAGCTTTTCATTAGGCCTCAGCAAGGCACACAAAAGAAGGCTTTTGGAAAGAGTGAATGCACGAGTTTAATTTGCAGGTGGAGAGTAGATAAAAGGTGCTGACGCCTCTATTATTCTCTTACTTAGGTGACCCTTACCCTGTTCAGCTGATCCCAACTACCATGGCAGCTGCTGCTGCAGCAACACCAGGCTTAGGCCCACTCCAACTGCAGGTAAGTCAGGAAACAATGCGGAAGAGACAAAGGTTAAGTCAATATCCAAAACAGCTATTTAGCGTGTCAAAGCAAAAGAAAACTGACTAGGGATATTTGTCTCACACTTTTTTGTTTTTAAATTTATTTGTACTGATGCTCAGTCAAAAGTTGAGATGTTGATTCTTTTAATTTTTAGCCCTGTTTTCTCTACTAAAGATAGCTTATTGTAATTTTTTTATTGTGTGGTATGATTTAACAAAATGAGCTGTAGTTTTGCTTTGATTACTATGTGCCATAATTTCATCACAGAATGGTCCTCATCGAGATAAAACGAACGAAAAACTACGAAAGATATTCGAACAGATACTTATGGATCAAGGCAACTTAAAAATTACCCTTAAAATAGTTTAAGATGCCCTGTATTGTTGAAGATGTCTGTAGATCTCTTTATGCTCCTGCTAATGCCTGCTCAGTTGGGCAAGTAAGGATAAGTAGACCAAATAAGCAGGTGCCTAAGTGAGACCAACGTTATCCAGACATCCCAAATAAGACCTTCTGACCCTGCGCAATATACATATTCCCACATATCCAAGCATTTCGGTGACATCTTTACCAGATGTTCGAGTGATTTTAGAAATTTTATCTCTGGGGTTGAAAAGAATATCAGTAAAATTATATTAAAGCTATCTTTCACTATTTAAATCTTTGAATCAGCATCCTACAAAATCTTTCCTAGTTTCTGTTGTTATGAACTTTATAGTTATGCAATTGATGGGAATAACAGATCATCTAATAATAGGATTAATTTCCCCTTGTGAGAAGTTTTATATTTTCCTTTCCCTGAAAGACACAGTATGCCTATGAAACCAGGTATAAAGCAGTTGTGCTTAATACAATTAAATTGTGTTCATGAAAGTGCATTGTCATGATAGATGATCTTAGTCTATAAGGAAAAATATAGTTTTATGTTGTAGCATCAAGAGACAGATACATCTGGTGGGCAAAGGGGATTGTCAGAAGACCTGGTGGGTTTCTGAAAAACCAGTTGAGTCTCACAGGAGGAACACAGGAGGAGCTGAGACATACTGTGTTCTACAGAGGTTAATAACAGTCATTCCTATTCTACCTTTCCTATGAAATGCTACAGTGTAAGTGTCTGTTTCTTTGAGCTGGAAATACCTTGGGAAATGTTGGAGCCACGGGGACAATAAAAGTAACATAACATTTGTTATCCTTTGAAATGGCATCTGGGCAATAACTACAATACGGAAAATGGTTGTAATAGGTAAAACTAAAAAGAGTAGTGGAATTAAAGGAAGAGGAAAGAATATCCAGCCATAGATTTGAATGTGGAAAATAAGAGTGTTAGAGATTTAGGATGTCAGTTTTCAAAGCAAGTTAAACGTTCTCATTTCCTTTCACTGTTGGATTAGTGGTGAGTGGGAATGAGGCTGAGTTGGAGGTATTCCCTGTGTTTCATTGCAGGTTCTAGTAGAAAGTAGCTTTGTTAGGCAACAATCCAAACTTCTTTTCTACAAACTATAGAGATAATATTAGAATATTTGACATAAATTGTTTTATTTCTGTTCTTATGATATCAGATCCCTTAAAATTTAAAAATATAAAAAATTTTATTTATCAGAAAACAAGAAAAAAGGCATGAAACATATTTGCTCTTGCTTTAACTATAATTTGATCTATAAATGGGATAAAGATCCTTTTATATAAGTGGCATTGTACCCATTAAAATATATGACTTTTAGTTAGGATCTCAGTAAATCAACAATGTGGTATAAGAAGAAAATTAATAATCCAAAACTCTTTCATAGTAAGCCATTAGCTACTATTAAAACACATACACATAAACACACACGCACATGTTTTTTGCTCATGATTGAAAAATGGTACTCAAATGCAAACACCTTCCAGATCTAAGAAGGGACACTATAAAAATATTCCTACTCATGGTTGGCTTTCTTTACCTACCATTTGTGTTTTCTTTTGAAATAATCTTTTGCATATTACACTTGAATAGTATTATGTTGAGTAAAACCAATAACCAGGACCTTTATTAAAGAAAGAATAAAGATGAGTACAATTATTTTAAAAGACAAGCAAAATGACGTTTTAAATTTAACCACTATTTATTACTTAAATATTATTTCATGTTCCTGGATAAAATAATAAATTACTTACTATGTAATAAAATAATACTTTACATTAAAAAATCCCCTTGCTGTGTACTTTTAGGAGCAAAACTAGTCTAAGCATTGTCATATTTGTTTTTATTTTTTATAGAGAAAAAATGGCTTAATCTGTATTATGTATATAAAGCATACAAATTAACATGTTGTGCCAGGGCACCATATTATTTATTTCTTTTATAATGAAATATCTTTTTCTCTTTTGCCTTTTAACTCTTTCCTGAGCTTTGGATCCGTATAGCCAACTATTTGTTGGTTATCAAGAGGAAATATATATAGGTGTTTACAGACAACTATAAACTGAGTGCAAAATGGGACTTGTCAGTTCTCTTCTTTGCCCCTCGACCTGTTCATTCTGTGTTCTTAGCAAATGGCTCCACTCCATCTATCGCTTAACCAGGAAACATGAAAGCTGTCTTTAACTTCTCTTCCTCCCTCTTCCTCTACACCTATTCATTCATTATCTATTCATTCCACCTACTAAATATATCAAGAATCCATCCATTTCTTTCTACCATAACTGTCACCCTTCTGGGTCAGGATACCCTCATTGCTTACCTAATTTACGGCAATAGTCCCTGAACTGGTCTTTGTGTCTTCACCTTGCCGCCTTCAATGCACTCTGTATTATACATTAGTCAAAAGGATCTTTCTGATTTTAGAAAATCTGATCATGTCCTTCCCCTACTTAATGACCTTAAATGACTCCTTGGTGTTTTCAAGTGTCTCTCCCCGCTTTGGACTTTTACCTGTAGTGTTTCCTCTTCCTGGAACCCCATTACCCACCATCTTTACCAAGCCAACTCCTGCTTATTCCTGAGGTTGCAAGTTGAAACATCACTTTTTCAGGGAAGACTTCATTGTCCTCAAGTCTAGATTAATGTAGCTCTTACATGTTCCAAGAGCACACTGTATTTCCCCTCTCATAGCACTTGTAGAATGTTTTAAATCCTACTTTCTGGCTTCTACCAGATGGCAAAATCTGTGAAGTCAGTGACTCACCATCATTTGCACTTAACTAAGTGCTTGAAATATTTTATGGACTCAATAAATATCTATTAAATGAAAAAGTGAAGAATGAATCTTAATATTACACTTATAATAAATTATGTATCTATTTTGTTCAGATAGCTATTCTGCTTTATAATATTAGAATTCAGCTAAATATGAATGATTAATTTCCTATATAAATTAATTTTCATCCTTTAAAAGACAGTAACAGAAATACAAATATCAAAGGCATCTTTAGCTCATGGAAGAAAAAAAATTAGCAGTTTGAATTCAATACAATAAGATATACATTGAAATTTTATAACAAAGGAAAACTATTTTCATTTAATGCAATGAAAGAAACCTATGAAAACACTACATGCCTAGTACCACATTTGGCACTGCAGTATTTAAAAAATTATTTTATAACAATTTTGCTCCACACTACCTTATTCAGTCTGCTCCAACTATACTGGACTCTTTTTGTCCCTTGACTTGCAAAGACATGCTCCCACCTTAGAGTTTTGCATTAGCTGTCCCTCAACCTGAAAGACTCCTTCCTCCCTCTGCCTGGAAGAGGCTCACCTCGTTCAATAATTTCTTGTAATGTCACCTCTCTGAGGCCTACCCTAACCAACCTATTTAAATCATAAAGTAACCCTCCCAGAGATACCATACTTCCTATTTCTCTTATTCTGCTTTTTGTCTATAACACTAGTCATCTTCAAACATACTATTATGTTTGAACTTATTATGATATTTCTTATTTATTGTCTGTCTGTTCCAAATATTCTCTAAGCTCCACCAGAGCGGGGACTGCTATTTATTTATTTTTTTGGTGAGGAAGATTGGTCCAGAGCTAACATCTGTGCCCATCCTCCTCTATTTTGTGTGTGGGAGACCGCCACAGCATGGCTTGATGAGTGGTGTGTATGTCCGCGCCTGCAATCTGAACCCGTGAACCCCAGGCCGCTAAAGCAGAGCATGTGCAGTTTACCATTATGCCACTGGGCCGGCCCTGGGACTGTCATTTTTGTTGTTGTTCATTATTGTATCTCAAATGCTGAGAATAATGTCTAGCAAATAGCTAGTGCTCAATAAATATTAATAAAGTGAAAGAAACTGTAACAGTCATCATCATTTTTAGTGAAACAATACAGCGGTGTATGATTAATTTTTGGAACAAATGATATTAAAGACCAGGGAACTTTATATTTTTTTCAACCCCTATTGGAAGATTCTTAGTATATGATAAATCCCTGGCTCTATTTCTCTTGCTCTTTCTTCCCTTTATCTTATCATAACCATGGGCTGCTGCATAAAGAATGGGTTTTAGCATTTATTACAGTTTATATAATTCCTTTTAAAGTCACTATAATTTACCCAAAAAAGGGCCAAACATTGCACCATTAGCTTATTCCTATATTGCTTGTTAATGTATGTACAGACATACTTAAGAATATGAACTGCTGGAGATACTTTTGACTCAATATGACTCACCTTGCCGCTATAACACCAAGGTAAATTATTTCTGAATAATGGAAGGATGTATTATCAACATAGTAACTAGCCAATTAGCCATCTCATATACCGAGTTTACTCTCTTCTCCTTATTTCTCCCTTCTTCCTTTTTTTTCTTTCTTCTTCCTGTTCAAACTACTTTTTTTCTTCCAAGAGCCAATGATACTTTTGATATTTGTTCTCCTGATATTGTCTCTTTTTAAAGGAAGGGGATTAATTTATATAGAAAACTAATCGAGCTTCTTTTCAATATTAAAAAGTGAGTATAATTATTTAAGCAAAATAAAGTTACACTTTGAATCT